TAAGGTATTTACGTACACATGCTAATAATTTAGGAAATATTTGATTTTAATATGCTACTTGATCAACTTTATTTCTATAATAGTAACGATAACGATAAGGAGATTGTGGTTTTTAGATTTCTTGCACCGAACTTAATAGGAGCTGTTTTATGCATAAAGCTGAAACTTAAAATAAGCCGCTACTGAGTTTAGCTTATCTTTAATGTGCTGGTTTTTTTTTTATTTCTTGGCAGAATACATAACATTATAAAAGGAGTATAGTTTCAGTATTTATTACTTAATAAATCAGATTTTCTTATACAATGTTTACTTATAAGAGCAAAAATCTCTTTTTAATTATAGTCACTCTCATAAATAAACCTTTTGTCTATGCTGTTGACAATTCAACGCAGAAAAGCACGGAAAGCCTTAATACTTATGGCAAAACTGCATTTGATACTTATTATAGTTCAATTTTACCAATTTTAGCTCTAATTCTTTTGGGTAACAAAAAAAATTGGCTTAACAGTTTGTTCGACGATATAATTATATTTCTGTCAATTATAATTCCATCTATCGTACGCTTATTTATGACAACTCATAAATATTATGCAACTTTCGCAATAGTATGCGTATTTGCTGGAATAATTGTTTTACCTTTATTCTATATTTGTAAAAATGTAGATTATGGAGATATGGGCTTTCTAAATAGCTTAGCCTCAAAAAAAAAATTCAAACCTAGGATATACGTATTGCTTTGTATCTTTTTTCCTTGTCTCTTGCTTATTTGTTCAATACTGCCAAATGAGGCCAACGTTTTAAATGAATCATTTCAAAGTACTAACATGACAGCAGCTTTAGATTTCTCTTCTGAAATTGTTTCTATTGTTTGCGGTACTGAGCAAGATCTTTCTATATGTAAAATATCATATCGGATCTCTATTATTTCTGGTTATATCTGTTGTTTGATTGCAGTTGTAGACTTTGTTACTAGTAAGATGTTAGAGGGATTAACGAAATGCTGCAACATTTATTCTACCTATTTATTCCCCTTTCGCATTTCCTTTATATCATTACTTCGCCTTATTTTTATGTCTATTATTACTCTGCTACCAGGCGTTTTGTTTGGAGTTTTACTTTCGAATCAAAACTACTACCTGTATAAAACTTCCGCATTTCTTTCAATATATTCTTTTACATCAGTCGTTAAACATTACATGGAGAAAGATATACACACATTTTTTTCGCATTACATTAATGAGCACCAAATACTATATATGGTCAGGAAGAATTCACAAGAAATTAGAAAGATTATTGAGGAGCTTAAGAAGCTTAAGGAACTTGATGAGTTTGATGACATAAGAAAAATTAATAAAATTTTTCATGAAGTGCAATATTTTGAGTTAATGGATCGTCAAAAAGTTATTTTGATTATTAGCAAAGATTTATCGGTAATCAAGAGTCTTGTAAAAAATATTAAAGAATACATTGAAGGGAAGATTGATAATAAGAAAGAACCCGATAATGAATCTGAAGGGAAGATTGATAATAAGAAAGAACCCGATAATGAATCTAAAGGGAAGATTGATAATAAGAAAGAACCCGATAATGAATCTGAAAAAAACACAATTATACTTATAACAAAGTACCTTGATGAAAATTTAGAACATTATGAAAATAAGGATATATTATCAAATGAAAGTAAAGAAATGATTGATAAAACCAAAGAAACTTTGTTAGAGGCTCGCAAACTTTTGCACGCTGTCAAAAGAGTAATTAAATCTAAAAAGCAACAAACATCGCCAGTATAAACAATGTAACCAGCATGGCAGGCTCTTTGCATCATTTTCTTATGATGGATTTAGATAGGCGAACTACTTGAAGCAGTTTTTACGATTGAATAAGCCAAATCAACTTAGTGGAGTTCCTTTTTGATATTTGTTTTGTAATAAAAACTTTTATACTATTGTTTGTTTATATGATCGGATATTTTTATTTATCATTACTAGATATTATACCCGCTGTTAAACGACGGGTTTAAGGATTTTAACAATATAATGTTTATATCTATTTACAATGTATTTATATAATTTAGTAACCACTTAAACATATATTGTATATGTTACGCATCATTTTTAAATTCTGTCAATTCTTAATTGACGCATGTCATTTTCAATTGAAAACTAAAGATTGCACATGTGGGCGGCTTCGCCGCCCAGTTTCAACAAACCAATTATCAGATTAATATGCAATGTATCGTTATTTCTTAAACGTTTCTCCTATAAATTTGCCCTGAAATTTTTAAAAAATTTTATTTTTAAAATAAAATTTTAAATATTAATTTTAGCTATATACTTTCTAAATAAAAAATATATTTTTAATATCTTCTAATGAATATTACTAACCATAACCGGCGGTGATCATCACCGGGGTGCTTATATCTCAAAAACGTACTAAGTAAACTTGATCGGGTATCCTAAGTAAAAATGTTCAGGACACCCGAAAACCTCACGAAAACTAAATTCAGGACCTTGTTTTCGCTCTATATTATTTTATATAAAAAATAATAATAATTCTTAATACCCGCACCCTAACCCTAAAAATATCTAGGGGCGGTGACGATCACCGCCGGTGATTTGTAGTTAAATTCTATTCTAATAACTTTATTAAGAAAATTTTTTAAATTTATTAAAAATTTAGGAGTAATAAAAACTTAAAGTTTTTGTTTGAACTTTTTACTATAAAATTTTTCTTTGAATTTTTTAAAAGTTTATATATTCTTGTCTATAAAAATTTTTTTACTTCTAATATAAGTCTTAATCTTTACAAGTTCAAAAAATTGTAAACTTTTTTAATTAAAAACTTTTTTAAACTTTGTATATTTTTGGCTTAAAATTAAATATAAATTTTACAAATATATAATTCTTATTTTTAATTTTTATTAAGGAAAATTTTATTTAAATATATTAAATTTTTAAAAAAACAGATTAGAAGTATTTTTATAGTAAAATTCAAGGCAAAATTTCAAACAGTTTAAGAGATAATATCTAATATAATATTTTATTTAATTATACAGTAAAAACCTCTATAAGTGTATGCCCTTGAGCTGAACTTTAATGATGTGCATTTAGAGAACAATAAAAATAAGTGCATTTACGAAGATTATATATATAATTAGATTCAAATTAAAGTGTGCATTTAGAGAAAGTATGTACTTATAAAGGTGAAATTATAAAGGTTTTACAATAAAAGATTTTATTTATTTATTTTTCATAATCTTGCTTTACTCAAACTTATTTCAAAGCTAGTTTTATACTTTTTTTGTGTTATAATATTATTATAGTTGGGTTTAAATTTTAGAACAATAGAAATAATAAGTATCAATAAATAATTAATAGGTTTTTTATTACTAATAATTTAGTAGTTTATTTTATTCTGAAATAAAATTTTTTAACTATTTTAAAATTTATTAAAGAAAATTACTTAGTATACACAGTGTGTTTGAAACACAGGTATAATTTTATAATTAATTTTTATTAAAAAATATAAATAAACAGTAATAATTTTAATTATTATTAAGTTAGAATTAGAAGTTATAGTTAGTAAAAAACATAGTTATAGTAAAATTTTGCAAGGGATTTTTTTTTTTTAGAGCTCAAAAGATAGTTTCATAAACAAAAATTTTAGATATTATTAATTTTTTGTTTTTTTCTTTATTTTTGTTGTACAAAAAATGATCTGCATACTGCATTTAAATTTATATTTTGATTGGCTTTTCTAT